GGTTCTTATTTAACACATGCCAAATATACCACAATATAACAGCCCTTTTTTGCAGCGCTCAACATCATCATCACCACCATTGTATGCCGTTGCTCTAGAGACAACAACATATGCGGCGATGATTTTACTCCTTCAATCGCCACAACTGGCCGAGGCTCAACTTCGTGACCTATCGGTCATAGCCCTGCAAAAAGCAGCTGAAAAACAGGCATCAGTATCTTCACCATCATAAGCAATTGTGGTTGTTCTTGTTGTCGTTTGTGTCTTTATTTATGAATAAATATAAAAAGAAAGAAATAAAAAAAGAAGGAAATTTTTGAATTTACTTTCTGTAGCCTTAAAAATAATGAATGAGTGAAAAAAAGGATTCGTATATATTAATGATGAGTAGTGATCAATGTCAATGTCGAGAAAAATTTTTTTTTTGAAATTATCTTTTGATGCAAAATTGATTGATTGTGAACTTCTACCTGTGTTCTACTACTATGGAAAACTTTTGATAAAAAAAGTCTATCGGAAAGATTCAAATATGTTGTCTAATTCATAAACCATGGAAAACATAAATCAAAATATTGACGATTATATTTTTATTATGATCGATATTTTTTTTGTCAATACCGAAAATTAGATGAACGAACGATCTTTATCGACGGATACGAAAAATACTTTATTGCATTTGTTTTTCTTTTTTACTTGTCTTGGTTGTCTGTATGAGTTACTTACTATTGAGAAAAATATAATGTCTTCTACTTAAATGCATTTGTTAAAGTTAGGTTATAAAGTCAATCTATAACATGCATTACATCTCAATGAGTTTTTCTATATTGTTGTAGAAACGGTTATGATCGATTGACTGCTCTATCCTATTATTTTCAAATAAAATCATATCACAATAATTATCTTATATTTTCTAATTGAAGTTTATGAAGATGCATATCTTTTGTTCGAATATAGTTAACTATAGAGAAGGTAATTCTTTCGGGTTGATCAAACAAAGAACATAACAAGAATGATAGATAAGATTTATTGCCATGATCAACACGGAATGAGTGAGCTTCAAATGCCTCTTTATGCGATAATATATAATTTGTGACAAAATACCTATGAAATTTATTATCGAAACTTATTAAGATATTATAGATAGGTTTCAGATCTCCAACCAGGTCACTAGGTCTGCCTGTGACAGGCAGGCCAAGCCGCCTGGCGTATCTACTTTTTTCTTCGATATGAAAAATTTGTCGCATGAATTGAATTTAATTCAAGAAAACAAATTTAGTTGAGTAGTTTTGAAGGATGACATTTAAATATGACGAATTAAATAAATGCTTGAGAATAAATATTGAAGATAGATATAAACAATGAAATCTACTGTCAATATGAAGAGGTTTTCAGTACAAAAGAAGAGCTCAATAGTTGATGAAAACTTCCCATGGAAAGTTTTTTTTTAAGCAAACTTATTAAACAAGAGTTTCGAAAGTGATCGCTGGTAGAATTCGCTCTCTTGCAACTGTTTACACTGTGCTCAGATCGTTTGAAATAATTAATTAGTGTATTATGTCTGACTGTTGATGATAATCAGGTCTATGTAATTGCCAATATGGTAGCGGATTAAGCTAACTTTCATGTAGTTTGATAAGGATTTTTAAGCTATTCGAAATGTTAAGTGAACATCGGAGAAAAAATGAATGATCAGTAAAAAAAAACATCCGAGGGAAACATTTCTCGAGACATGATTTGAGTGTCTTTGACTGATATTTGGTAGATGTCAATCAGAAGTACAGTTTGGATAGAAACTAAAATCATCTTGAGAACCAGCATTCAACATTAAGCAGACTAATGAAAATTTTCAATCTTTTTATCGATCTTCTATCGTCGAAAAAAGCATCCAAGTACCCATCAAGATTAAGTCAAAATATGAATCGCATCAAAAAGTAGTTTCACTAATGAAAAGAATTCTAAGGCTGTCCAATGACACTAGAACAAAAAATACCGTTTGTGTAAGCCATCAGAAACACTCTTAACGAGTTTCATTTTTTTTTGTGACTTAATTCGGGAGGAACTGGATGACTTTTCAACGATAAAAGATCAATAAAAAGATTCAAAATTGGCATAAGTCTACTCAGTGTTAAATACTGATTCATAAGATGATTTTTGTTTTTACCTAAGCTGCAATTGTGATTGAAATCTACCAAATATCAGTCCAGACCACTGGAAATCATATCTGAAGAAGTATCTTTTCGTCGTTTTTTTAATCATTTTAGAGTGCTTAAAAATCACTGTCAAACTGTTTGAAAACTAGCATGATCGATCACTATACCGATAGTTAAATGAATCAAATTATTATCGATGGTGGGATGTAACTAGTATGTTTATTCACTATTTCAAACCATATGAGTACAGAGTTAATACGTGCATTACGGCTAATTCTACCAGTGATCACTTTCGAACTCGTCGTATAATAGTTATGCACAGAAAAAAAAGTAAAATCTTACTAGGGAGTCTATTTCCTCACATGTTGAACCATCTTTTCCACGTTTATCATTACTTGCTCTGGGTCAGTTTTTAAACCCCAGTTAATTTAGCTGAAGTTGAATGGTCTATTTTTGTTTTAGATTTAGCAGTTACTGCACGTGGCTCCTCTCTCGCTTACAATACTACAAGTGACATTTGTCTGTCAGATTTTTCGAAAATATTTTTGAAGAAAAAAACCATTGTTTTTCTCAATATTAATGTGTGTCTGTTTCTTTATTTTTCTCGACACTTATGTTTTTCACTTCATATTAAATGTAGAGTAAAATTTTATACCATCAACGTCTCTACAATGTGAACATCCCATTATAGTGAATAATCCGAATTCACGCTGAGCCATTTTTGTTCCGAAGTCAATCATTTCTTAGTTAAAGCCTCCTGATAACGGCATATGAATGCTTTTTTTCCTGACTTTGAACAACTTGAAAAAAGTTTCCTGTGGTCAACTTTATTTTGTTCTACTTCTTTTCCTATATCCTCTGTTGCATAGATAAGAGAGAATCACCTGTGTATAGTGAACACTTTTAAATATTTTCTTGAATGTTCACATCAGAAAATTTTTACTTGTGTCATCCAAACTGATTCCATTAACTTGCTGGACTTTCTATGAAAACTAATACTTAATTATATCATATTAGTATAAGTATGTTGGCTTACTTGCTAGGTAGGCCGAAGAAAATGACAGGCAGGCCAAGCCTGCAAAACGTGGGCCTGGTTGGAACTCTGATAGGTTTATTGTTGATCAATTTGTTTTAATCGATTGTGACTTGGATATTTTGTTCTTAGAGAAACAACAACAACTGATATGCATCTTTTTAAATATGCATATTATCCTCCGATGAGACTAAATAAAAATGAAATCTCATCATTGATACTAATATTAAAATAGTTGATGCTATTATTCAATCCGGCATTGATACATTATTAATGTTTATTTGTTCTTAATAGAACATTCAGATGGCTCAGCTAATATAAACATGATAATGATGCTTGTCCGTATCTAAATATATATTCTAGTTGTTTTTCTTATCATTGACTCATCGGTTGTCTTTTATGTGAGGAATGGTAAAATTGAATTGAATTGAATTTTCTTAAACGTTTCTATGGTTATCTTAATAAGTAAATTATTGAACTCAATGAAGAAAGATCTATCTCAATTTGATAACATTTTAATAATATTATGCATGGCAATGTTTACATAGATTTTGTAGTCGATGCATTTATCTATGCCGATCGATGAAGCATGAGATGATTTTTTTTTAAAATTTTGTTAGCTCTGAGAAATGTTTGAAATGAAAATTGTAGAAAATGATCATAGACAACGTAACAATAAAGGTAACTAGACAAGAACCATTCTGGATGTCGAAAATTTTCAAAAGACTACCATCGATTTTAATATCGTGGTAGCTGCTCAGTCGATTTTCTTACAAACAACCGAGGGAAAAAGTCGATTTCATCATTTGATTCATTTCGAATAATATCTAAAATGACTGTGACTACTCGAATGAGGAGGAACAAATGATCGTTATCTTTCGAAGTAACTTATAATGGGAAAATCATGAAATTTGATTCATTGGTCAAACAATAACTATTTGAACAAATCGTGATTTTTTTATAAGGTTTGATCAAAAATATTCATGATTGAGGAATTGAAATCTGAAATCAATAATGTTTATTAAGTGTTCTATAAAAGGTTTCATTACACCAATAAATCAAGTAAACAAATTCGAGAAACTGATTACAAATTTGAATTGATCGAATCTGGTCAAAAACCTTTCATAACACTATATAATATGTAAATTATTTGGAAAAATATTCTTTCATTGATAATCTCACAAGTTATTGCTTACTGGTAACTTGTCGATTGTAATATTAACTATTAAGATTAGCTTGAACATTTTTCTGTATTACTCAAACAAAATAAAAGACTGATTTCAAGTAATTGAATTGATTTATGAGATTGACTACCTTTTCAAATGACTGAATACACAAAAACAAAAGATCTATTTGAAACAAAACTCGATAACTCGATATTTTATATTATAGAAATTGAATTAAAAAATCATTGTGAAAAACAACAAATTTTTCTTACTTTCTAAAATAATAGATGTAAGAAGCAAAAAAAATTCCCATTATTCTTATAAATAGAAGTATAGACCAAGATTGAATTTAAAAAAAGAAAATAAGAAAAATAATTGTTCTGATAAGATATATTCATCAATGAATAAAAAAGATCTTTTTACGGTACTATTGATAAAAATAATTTGTATAATTAATTGAATATTTCAATGAAAATAATTATTTTATGAAATAAATGTGAATGATACTAGCAAATTATATATATTTTAACAATTAGAAAATATTGTTTAAAAAAATTTCTTTATATAAAATTCTTTTTTTTTATTTATTTTCGAAGAAAAACATTTAACGATATACAACGGAACGAAACAAATCATTGAATATCTTCTTCATTATTTTCTTGTTGTTGAATCGACAATGGTTTCATATATCCATTGCGGATGAACACTTTTATAGAGATTCATAAAAACAGTACCTTGTGATTTAAAAATTCCATCAAATAGACATTTCATATGACCATGTGTACCTTTATATTAAAATAAATCTTATCTATTTAATTAATAAATAAGAATAAATAACAAACCAAGTGATTCTTTAATGTCTTCGCCGACCCCATTTCGTGTATGTTATTCAATTGGTTTAAACCAATTAACATCGTCTATTTAAATAAATAAATAATAGAAATTTTAGCAAGAAAAAGTAATCAAACTAGAATTAACTGAAAGAAGAGAACCAGTTGCTACTAATTATTGACGACCTTTATTTAACAAAAAGCAAATTTAAGTTTTTTTTTTAATTTAAAAAATCGAATAAAATACCATCAGGAAATTGTTTAAATGCAAAAACCGATGCAGGTGGATATGTTATTGGACCAAAACGTGTTGTAACAAGAGTTTGTCGTGACCGAAAAAATCTTTCAAACTAATTTAAAATATTCTTATCTATATTAATTATTATAATAATCAATTAGTAACAAACTTTATGTTTATCTCAATTTGAATGTTGAGAATAAATCGGTGAACTTGAAAAATGACGAAAACCAACATGAAATCTAAGACATTATTTTGATTTAACAATTATTTCGCTATCATTTGTACGGTTTAAGACAATATTTAATATTGATAAACACTGTTCATGTGGTAAAAGACCCGTTACAAATAAATGATGAGCAGGTTCTTTTAAAAAAACAATAACAACAAGTTTTTTTTCTCGAATATTTGTTTTTTTATAAAAAATTTTTTATTATCAAATCTACTGATGGGCACATCTTTTACATAAAGAGTTGCATAACTATGCACCTGTAACAAATATACAAATTAAAATAAGTATTTCATCAAATAAAATCTTTGGAAAAAAAATCTTCGGTAAATATAATTATTAAAAAGTTAATTACATTTATATAGAACACAAAACTTTTGTTCATTCTTAAATATATGAAACATCGAAAATCTACCTGCACGAAATCATAAATTTCAACAATCAGATTATCACTCTCTAACCTTTCTTTTTTTTACTGTCAAACTCAGTCAAAAACTTTTGCTTCGAAATTGAATAAAAAGATTTATTTGAAAAAGAACTGAAAAAAAAGTCGTATAAGATGTTCAGATTTTGATTTAAATAAATTGTGAATTATTAATTTGATCAATCATAAAATTTGTTCTTTGATCAGAAACGAACTCATTTAGAAAAAACAATTTATTATTTGTTGACTAATGATCATAGGTCACTGTCAAAAACACTTTTTTTCTTCTTTTCAATTCTGATCAACAACATTATTCAACATTTTTGCATTTAAGAATAAAACCATTTTTTTTTCAGAAATCTGCAATTATCTATTTATTGTAGAATATTTAGATTTTAGTCATTAATTCGACAATATTATCAATCTGCTAAACTTGTTCGAAGTTTTGTTGGAGAAGACGATCGCAACTGCTTTCAACACATCTTATTGAAAATAATCGGATTGGTTATCTTTTACGAGTATTCGCACTTAATTAAAGATAAACAATGTTAGATTTTAGATTTTGGTAAATAGAGACGATCATAGTTCTGCTGAGAAAAATCGATAAAGAATTGTTAAGGAAAGAACAATTACTCCGCATTTCTTCTCTCTTTATCTGACACTCAGATAAAACTTCGATGATTAATAAATGTCAATGATGACAAAACAAATTCATTGTCAAGATTATTAAATATTTGTTTCTTTTTTATGAAAACCTATTCAAAATAAATTTAAACATAAAACCAACTCTAGAAGAATAGGAAAAAGCACAAAAGAATATTTCTATATGATATGCAGATAATCATTTTTTAAGGATAATTTTTAAAAAATTCTTCAATAAAATCTCTTGATGAATTAATTGATTGATAAAACTAGATATATACATATATTTAAAAAGAAAAAGTTTAACCTGAGTATGATCTTGTTTATGTTGATTATATTCTTCTTCACTTTCAATTTGTTTAGTCATAGTAGGAAAATTAGGAAATTGATAAATTCTTCCATAATCATATGGTAAATTTTCGTTTGGATCCCATTTTGTTGTTCGAAAACTTTTTAAACCTCAATATCTTTATTGGAACAATAAAATATAATTAGATAAATAGAAAAAAAAAACATGAAATACTTTTGAAATCTAATACGAGCCGGAACATCCATTGGTGTATCAACTTCATCAGGAAATCATTCATCTAATTTAGCTTCTTTCAATTGTTTTAAACTAAATCAAATATTTGAATTCAAATAAATATAATCAGATATATAAAACAAACGTTTGTTTATCTTCTTCTAAATATGTTTTTTCATCATAATTATTTTGATTTCTTCTTCATCTTCATCATGTTCTTGTTGATCAACTTTAATTGATTGTAGATCATCACCATAATCAGTCATCATTTCTTGATGATCTTCATCAAAATCCTAATATATTGAAAAGATTTAATATTAAAAAAAAACTAAACATTTTGTTGCTTGAGAGACTGATTATCTTCATCATCAGAAATAATCCATGCAGTTTGATATTAGGAAGTTTCTTTAGGTACACGTTTTATTAATTGATGTCCAGATTGTTGAATATCTTGTCTAGTTGGCCATGTTTGCTCTTAATCGAAATTTATTGAATCTTGTTCAGCTTCAAATACTAATCATCGTTCAACATTCGGATCAGCTATAAACGTTTTATCAACAATTGATTTTGTTATACCATTGGACTAAAGTATTTCAAATTTTTTTTATTTATTTTTTAATAAAAAATGATTGATATTACATCTCGTAGAAATCGATGTTGTTCGATTTTTTCTAATTGAAATATGGGGTGGGTGTGAGCGTGAGCGGGTTGAGTGTGGGTGTGTGTGTGTGTGGGATGTCTGTGTGGGTGTGGGTGTGTATGTGAGTGTGAATCGAGAGGATATCTTAGTGACATAAAACACCCACACCCTTAGGAGAAGCTGTGTAATAGGGTAATTTGGAACAAGAACAATTAGAAGAATAAGTGAATCGTTTAAATACCAAGAAATATCCTAAAGCGAAATATTTTGAAATGAGTACCTCAGAGGTTCAGACATTGATAATGAACAATGCTTCAGAATAGAGTGATTTTAATATGCTATAAAGGACAAAAGTATCTGTTTCAATAAAATGGCTTCAATATTTGCTGAGAAGAAAAGTACAAAGTCTTTCTGTTTACGTCCTATAAACATGTGCCTATTAAACCTAGTTATTAATATGAAATGAGAATGGTACAATAATTCTCCCATAGCCCCTAGTGTCAGTTTTTCTCAACAGACATCAGTTAATTAACTTTCAATTTTCAATCGGTGAAAAATCTTCACTTTAATTTCGAAGACTAATAGACAAGTTTGCACGACTTCGATAACTAAAATTATTGATGATTTATCAAGTCTTTTTTTCGGCAAAATTATGACTATTGAGAAAGAATGAGTATAGGATTTAGAGCAACGTTATTGTCGATAGTTATACCTTCATTACTTAGATTGTGATTTATTCTATTGAGACAATTACTTAATGGAAGGAAAACATAGATAGTTAGCACATTCTTGTCATCGACAACATAAACTTTGAAAATATTCGTTACACAAGATGCTATAATGTTTTGTTATGCTGAGAATTCATTAAATTGAAATATTTGATTGGGCGCATCTCCATGATCAGCTTCGTACAGCATCTTGATTTATTGATAAGTAAAATAATTGTATGAGTTTGTTTTTGTTTAGAAAGATATCTTTTCGTACCAACTCCAACAAAAGTCACATTTATTTAACTCCATTTTTCATCAGAAGAAATTTTCGTAAATGTAATGAACAAACTGTAATGCAACCTACATAATAACTTGAACAATAATGATATCAGTATGGATGTGGGTGGTACGTATGAGTGCGGGTGTGGTATATCAGTGGATGATGGAATAACTGACTATAACACTCACACCCACACAATCAGCAAAATTTCTCTTGTGATTTGCAATGATCTATCAGGAATTATCGAAAGCCATCAGTAGCTACCAACGTCAATATCATTTTTATGCTGACAGACATGTGAAATTATTTTAGATCCTTGTAGTATAATATTTCGATTGAATTTTTGTGTAGTTCACACAGTGTGTGTAAAGAGATTGTTTTTGAGTACATTAAAGTGTTAATTTATAAGCAAGTGTTTATCTATCATATACACTCAATTATATACTATTGTTATTAAGCATTCGATTGTTTTGATATCCTAATATTGTTAAACTAAATTTTTTTTAGGAACAAAAAGTTCGAAGTATATGAACATGAGTATATACGATTGCAGTAACTCGATATCAACTGTATATGAAAGGAACTCTTGAAGCTTTTTGTTTGCAGGCTTTTTGTTTATATGTATGAGTATAACATATTACGGGTTTCAAAATAAAAAAAAAACAGTTTTTAATTATTTCTACTTCCTTTTTCTTTTCGATATCTTTTCAGGTATAAATATGTTTTGTTTTTATTTTGTGTGCAAGACTCACTGTGTGAAAATCATTCAAGCGTTTTGTTTCATGCACATGTTTCGTTGTGTGCAACTTTATATGCGCATCGTGAGTAGGTCTGTTCTTGATAGAGTATACAGTAAGAAAAAATAAAAAAAGGAAAGAAAAATATGGAAAATAAGGAAAGTTAAGAAATAAATAAAATTGCCTTGCTTCAAAGGTAAAAACAAATCATTCGACAAAACAACCAAACAGTGTTACATACACAACAGCAAGCATAATCAACAGCATCTCAGCAGGAAATTTTCTCCATATATTGGATTTTTGTTTATTTCGTCATAGTAAGTAATTTGTTACGATAATGTCAAAAATAGAAACAAGTCCCTAGGTCGAGAAATCCGATATCAAGATCAATCACAGATTCTTCTATGATCGTATCAGATCTTAGTTCAATATGGTACATGATCATATTAGATCAGACGAAAAGCCATACTGAAAAATGCAGTCTCAGAAATCTTACGTCAGTTCGTAAACTAAGTTCGTATATGATCCAAAAATAACGATCTGATATGATCATATAAGATCATACAGTAAGGTTTTCAGTGATTTCTTTACAAATATGATTCCTTATCTTGCATCTACCTCTAGCAATTATAATCAAGTAGAGTTCACAGAACCAAGAAAGCTCTCGTCCATAGAACTGATTCAGAGGTATCTACACTTGCAGGTGCCATTAAACAATAAAACCCATAAAATAATAGCCACAAAAAGTGAAACATAAACTACGTTATGAAAAATAGCTTTTCTTTGAAACTGATTTTCTCAATATAGGCATGTATAGCAAAGATTATCTTATCATGAATGAAACGTTCAATTATAAACTTCAGAATGATGCTAGTACAGATAGAATCTAAGGAGAAGTAGTTCATTTAAGAATAATGTGAGAAGTTCTTTTAGTTTAAAAAATACGATAGAGAGCACCACCCCAGGACGAGCATTACGACAATCGTAAACGATCGTATACGACGTCGTATACGATCGTGAACGGTCGTATACAGTGTACATTACGATCGTATACGACCGTGTTTCGCCGTATTACTTGGCACCTGAATTACGGCCGTATATCGTCGTGTCGTATACGACGTAATACGACGTGTATACGACCACCGTAAACGGTCGCACACAGTCGTATACTATGTCGTTTTTCATCGTATTTCATTCAAAATTTTGCCACCTAGCGCCCCCCCCCCTCCCTTTGACTTTCCAAAGATGAAAAAACTAAGGCCA